TGGTGATCGGCATTTCTCTGGGCATGTAAGAAAGGGCCACGAGAACTAAGCCCTGAGGCAGCCCTTCCTGCCCTCCCTCTCGTGATCTGCCCAAGTTCACAGAATCAGCATTGCTGTCAGGTGGCCATCTAGCCTTGGTTTGAAAACCTCCAAAGAAGGAGAGCCCACCACCTCCCGAGGAAGAAGCCTGTTCCACTGGGGAACCCCACTGAGAGAGGTCACGGACTGCTGCAGGTTGGGAACAGAGGAACAGCTGTGAACTAGAAGGTCATATGATTTGGCTATGAGAGACGAAAGGACAAGAAAGGAAGGTTCAGGTTTGCGGGATCAAATAAGGGGCAATAAGATTAAAAAGGCACAAGGCCCAGTGGAAGTTTTGGAACCACTGAAAGGGATGGTTTAACGCTGAGCCTCTTTTTTTATGATGACTGATCTTTTCTTTTTTCAGTCTCATGTTTATTAATCTCTGGGCACAGGTATCTGTCTTTGGTACCCAATCCTCTGCCATCAGATTTGTTATTACACTCCCCAAAAGACTGAGGCACATACGGTAAACAGAATGACAAAGTAGATCTGTAAAACAAGATGAAAAAGCAAGGGGGTTAAGACCAACAGGAGAAGGGCTCATACACATCCCTGAAGAAGTGAGCAGTGACCCACGAAATCTCACGCCCTGCCACAAATTTTGTTAGTCTTTAAGGTGCTACTGAATCTTTTCTACTGCTACGTCCCCAAAATGTGTGTATAACCGGACGAAAGTTATTGTGAGTCCTTTTGTCTAGTCAGTGTTGCATTGCAGTATGCACAATCCATTAAAATCAATCTCATAATTCCCAATGATGTTAAGAGAAGAAGAAGAGATTGGATTTAACCCACCCTTCACTACCGGAAGGAGTCTCAGAGTGGCTTCCAATCTCCTTTCACTTCCCCTCCCCACAACAGACGCCCTGTGAGGTAGGTGGGGCTGAGAGAGCTCTTTTGAGAACTGCTCTTGAGAGAACAGCTCTGAGAGAACTTATGACTGACCCAAGGTCACACCAGCAGCTGCATGTGGAGGAGCGGGGAATCAAACCCGGTTCTCCCAGATTAGAGTCGGCACTCAGATTAGAGTCCGCACTCTTAACCACTGCACCAAACTGGCTCTCAACACCACTGAGCAACACCACTGAGACTGACTTTGTTGCTAATCAAGCGAACCCTGTACCAGTCCAAACACTGAACTATGCAAATAATCATAATAATTCAGCGGATGTATACAGCCCTGTGCTTCTGAGGAAGCCAAAAGTAAACATGTGGTGTGCAAGGTCCGGACTCTGCCATAAGCAACTGCTTGGGAGCCTCAAACATGATTTGCCACACACCCCAACAGCTTCGTAGATAAGGCTTGTGTTTTTAAGAACTGCACGATGGATTTCCTCTTTTGTCATCATGCAGCTATTAAAAGTGTGGAGCATGAACAAGGGCAGGTGGTGAGACCTGAGTGTGGGGCCAGTTAGGGAGGAAGGCTTCCCAGGTAGAGGGTGAAGGCACTCAGGCCCTGCCAGAGTTTGACATACGAAACCCGGAAAGACAGAGCACGGACACAGGGACTCTCTCCCGGGCACCCCTCTTATAAGGGAAGTAGCCTTCACAAGCCAAATACAGCCCACGTGCTACCAGCTGGCTACAGCAAAGGGTTACCTTGAGAGAGGAGCCCTTGGGGGTGAAGCACTTAAAAGGCTTCTTGTCTTCAGACAAGCCTTCCTCGGGGATCTTCTGCCGTTTCTCCGCAGCTTCTGCCCTTCTCCTTTCAATCTCTTCCTTCAGCCGCCTCTTCTCTTCCTACCAAAAGGAATGACACGGAGCAAGCCGCTTAAGACTTTGTTGGGATTCATAATCCTGCCCTGGCCTTACAATTCTGGACAGGGGAAGAAGTGGGGCAGATTCCGGCAGATCTGTCCCATTTATGGGCCTGGAGGTTCAAATCAAAGATCGGTCAAAGCTGACAAACTTCAAAGGAGAGGAGAGCACCCCAGGTGAGGAAAGGGAATGGTCCGTGCCTCCTGTCTAGCCCACGTTTGACCCTCCCTCCTCCCACCAGGAGGGGAATTCAGCCTTGCCACATTAGAGAACGTAACAAGAGACCTGCTGGAACAGACCAAGGGCCCATCTAGTCCAGCATTCTATTCTGTTCACACAGGGGCTAATCCGCTCCCTCTGGGAAGCCTGCAAGCAAGGTGACTGCAACGACCTCCCTCCCATTCATGCTGCCCAGCAGCTGAGGCACACTGGTGGTGTGTCATTGCAAGGACTGGGCTCTGAGAGGCAATCAGGATCCTTGCTGAACTATCATCATCATCACCATCATTCTGCCCTTCCCACAATTGGGCTCAGGGCAGTGATCAACAAGGCTTCGTAAATACAAACACTCTCATAGATGCATATAAATACATACTTCCATAGAGGTCATTGGTAGGCGGATTGTCATTGGAAACGATTACCAATAACCATTGATGTTAAAAAACCCCAGTGTTAAAAGCCATAAACAACTCCCTGTCGACTATGGGAGTGTGTGCAATTTAAATGATATATGTTTGTCCTGCCTTACCCCCCTCATTGTTAGTCCCGTGTCAACAAAGAGTAACTGTACATCGCTCAGAGCCAGCAGCTCTTGCAAGGACTGAGCGATTAATAAATTGAAAGATGATGATGATGATGATTGATGTTAAAAGCCATTGATGTTAAAAAAAAAGTTGCTGTCCTCTACCATATGCTTGGCGGAATAGAAGGGTGCTTTCACACACGCTGAAAAATGCACTTTCAATCCACCTCCAGTGGATCTTGCCATTTCAGACAGTAAAATCCAGTGGCAAAGTGCATCAGAAGTGGATTGAAAGTGCGTTATGCAGTGTGTGTGTGAAGGCACTGTGCCAGCATTGAGCCTCCAATAGAAGACGGGTAGAACTATTCGACGGAGCGGAATCTGATCAGATGAACATTCTAAGCAAGCAGGGACACTGATTCAGTCGTGAAATCTGATCGCGGTTAAACACCCGGTAAAGCAGCATCAGTCACACAGATGTTTCAGGGCTAAACCAGTGATAACTGGGGGGGGATATTTATCCACATGTTCTTTTTTTTTTCAAGGGCAGAGCAGGTGAAGAGGAAGCAGATGGATGCAAGAAGGATGAGGCGGGGGCTGTCCTCACCTAAGTGCTTTGTTTTTTGTCAAAAAACGCCCCCCTCCCCCCGCTTCCTGATTTATTTGAATGGGAAGGACATGGATTCCAGCTGCACATCTAATTTGGTGCCAAGGTAGCTGCTGAAGGATTTATATGTATGTACATAACATGGTAGAAAGAAAGTGGTGGAGAAGGAATTTGGATTCAGCACACCCAATTCCACGGTCAAAGCCAATTCAAACTGAATTCAACCTGTGAAAAACGGTTGCTTGGAACCAGCCCCAAGAAATTTGCCTCGATGGCTTGAGAAATGAGAAGGCACAGGCCACACAAGCAACGTTTTTTTTAATACAACCAGGGCTATTTTTGGGCAGGAACGCACAGGAACGGAGTTCCGGCTGGCTCCTGAGTTGGCCACGCCCAGCAGGAACTCATTAGCATAATAGGCCACACCCAACAGCAGAAACTCATTAGGATTGGCTACATTAGGGGTGTGTGGCCTAACATGCAAAGGAGTTCCTGCTACAAAAAAAGGCCCTGGGTTTTGACAACAAACAAGGTAAACAGAATAAGAAGCAAAAGGTGGGTGTGGTAACATGGGGGTGTGGCCTAATATGCTAATGAGCTTTGGTGTCAGGGTGTGGCCTATTATGCTAATGAGTTCCTGCTGGGCTTTTTCTAAAAAAAAAGCCCTGAACAACCCTCAGCGCACCAAGGCCAGCAAAATCATGTTTGCTGTCACGATTTGGATGCTGAGGGCCACCCTGGCAGGCTGTTACCTCCTCCCGAGTTTTTCTGTCGGCCTCCTCTTTCTTCCTCCTCTGCTCCTCTTCTTCCAGAATCTTCCGACGCT